CATATATATATATATATATATATATATATATATCAACAAAGATTGCAGAAAAGGATATGATACAGGGAGAAAGAATTAGTTCACAGAAAGAAAGACAGAGCAATTCTAATCTCACAGTTTAAGGGAATACAAAGAGTGTATACACCTACGCCATTGTGATCGATTCTGAGCCATGTCACATAGAGTCTCCAACCATTGGTTACGATAGTCACGCGAACCACAACCAAGTAGTCTGCATTTACCAACATGGCTCAGGCTAAAAGTTAGTGACTTCAAGTACTGATGCCACGTTTCGGTTTGGCCGCCCCCAACTTTCTTCAAACCATTCCCAACACCGGTTAGCATTGCGTAGTGGTAAACGGTGTTCAGGCATACGAAACACGTCGCTCAACCATCTCAGTCGATGAACATTCACAACCTCATCAACTGATTTACCATCATTTCCTAATACCCTGCATCTAACACCACTATTACTTACTCGGTGATCTCAGCAGATGAGAGCAATATTTCTAAGGCATCTGTGGTCAAATACTAGTAGCTTACGAGTATCTTCTACTCTTAATGACCATGTTTCGCAGCCGTAAAGTGAAACCGACATTGTTAAATGAAAAGTGAAATCCTTTCAATTTCTAGATACAAGATCTTCTAAATATGTACTGATTTGTATAAATCAATAAAATGTTTCGCAAATGTAACTTTGCATCTAGTGTACACTAAATTAAATCACCTTGCTCTTTTAAAAATTGATTCTAGCAACTCTCAATATAAGTAGACGTTCATTATATATAAATGAACGAAATAATCAAGAGATATCATAACGTTATTGAACAAAAGAAACATGTGGTATTTGTTATAATTACAGTAGAGGAAAGTAAACTTCATAGTAATTGTTTTATTAAATCCTAATTTTCTGGTGAAAAATTTTTTTAAATGTTGTAATAAATAATTTCGTACACAGAGAATGACAAAGAAATTTTTCGAAAATTGGAGATTTAACCGCATATAAACTTTTGATTCAGTAAAACACCAATCTCTACATGACTTATTTGAGGTCCGAGTCATATATACAAATAGGGTAATATTTTGCTTCAAAAATTGAGTTTTTTTCTATGGTTGAGAGCATGAGTCAACTGAAGTTAGATCACCATAGAAAACCTGTAAGCATTGGACGGCCGTTTAGTCCTAGTATGGGACTTCTCGAAAGTGAGCATACACATTCCCGCATCCCACGAGATCCGAACCCAGGACCTATCAGTATAGTGTGCGAACGCTTAACCACTAGACCACTGATTCGGCATCCAACAGTGTTAATGTCTAACTTCAACTAATCCATGAAATTGAGCGACACACCCACTATTATCATCAGTGAGTTACTATCTCACATATTTCATCAAGTGATTTTTTATATACACAGTACTAATTAAGATAAGAATTGAAATAAAACCTTTTAGCATAATGAAACAAAACTCAAGCAATTAACACATTCAATGATTACGTAAATTTAAATAAAGTAGTGATTAGCCTAAAAAGAAATAGTTTGAAAAAATTGACAAGACTTTCGTTCCAATTATGTTTTTTTGTTGGACAACGTTTCTCAAGAAATATTTCTCACATATTCAATAGAAGTCATTTTTGAAATTTATGTACAGTAGTTACGAAACAAACGCAGAAACTGATCTTGTTATTCACTATGACATTTTTACAATGGTGTTTTTGATAGGTTTATTCAAACAAAACTATTTCTCATTCACCGGCTAAAAAAACAGGATTCGTAACACCAATATTTTAGTAATTTTGCTTTGGAGTTGTTTCTTAGTGATTCAAAAACGGAGAGAATAATTCATAAAAAGGAATTATTTCATTATATCAGATTATAACCTACAAGATTTCTCCAATAGTTGACTGCTCATTCCATTCTATGTGATGTTACTAGGGTTTCCATAATTTAGATCCACCTTAGGACGTATCATAAAAGTATCTGTTTTTATTAAACTGGGAGAATAATTCTCAACTTTAGTCATATGACTTCGGAAGTTTAAATGAATCAAATCAGGAATAATTATACGTAGTTATAATTGCAATCTAACACGATAGTTAATTGACATTCGGTTGCCATCATGTGTTAGGTATTTGTCGAGAAGCTGACTATGGCAAAGTGCCTGTAGTGTGAATTATAGTAGAAAATATATGTCTAGAAAAGATGACTCGATTCAAGTAAAATCACGTCGAATAATCGATTACCAACAGCATCGAGAATCTTACATGATGTAATCAGTTACTGATGTATTAGGGATGACGTCTCAACAATTCTTATATAAATGCTTGTTTAATAAACATTTATTCATAATTATATAAATAGTCTGATGATGGTTAAATCACAGTTAGCTTAAAGACAGACAATTTTTGCATTTTTGCTATTGAAGCTACTTCTACATAAGTAGGGAAATGATTGAAACCCTAACTTTGAGGACGTAGTTAATTCTTCTATGACTGATCAGCGATCTCCTCAAACCCATAGGTAACTGATTTTCAAATATGCAAATATAGTAGCAGTTATTTTTATTTCAAATTTTCTATAACCATAATGTATACGTTAAGTGGGGAATGTTTATTTATATACCTTTTAAAGACTTAGTTTATCATTATAAGAAATACTTAAAACTTTTTTATCTATCATTTCAAGCAACGATGCTCAATTACCTTGAAATCTATGCATCGAATACATTATCCGAAGATCTTCAAAAGTCTTTATTATGAACAAGAGGTAATCACTTTGAAAGAATTATTTTAATATTCGTAGATATTTAAAATTCCAGAGTATAATGATGATGGGCTTCATACAATAGAACGTATCGTTTGCTGAAATTTACCGATTATGATTAAAATCTATTCACTAACAAAGTATTTGTCATTACTTTGTTATGTTGTCTAGTGCAGGTCAAAACGTCCTGGTAAATTAATGGTTGAATTCATGAACCAATGAAAGCTAAACAACCATGGAAAACTGGAAAGCACTGAACGGCCGTTTCGTCCTAGCATGGGACTCCTCAGCAATTTGCATCCCGCTCGCGGGATTCGGACCCAGGACCTTCGGTCCCGCGCACGGGAGCTGAACCTCTAGACCAATGAGCCGTAATCCAAGTCTTAATGTCAAGCTTCAATAAGTCTTTTGCTTTTATTCGCAAAGCTAGAAAATATATCTTATGACTAAGCCCAAATTTAGACCCATTTGCATTACTCTACTAGGTGTTTGACCGCAATTGTAAACCGGTTTGAAAACATTTCTAATGAATGAATGATTCTGACAATACATGGTATTTCATAGCTTTTTTATACTGTTACCTTTGAAAAATGAGTAAACATTGAACCAAAAAATTATTCTTAACAGGTGCATCACAATATAAATCTTTTTATCAATCAAATTCTTACATAAACAAGAGATCATGTGATACATCAGAACACTTGGAAATGACTCTAAATGAAACATGAAATAGTTCACAAAACGTTTAGGAGATATTAAACAACATTAAAGTGTTGGTTGTTTTTGGGAGATAAGTTTCAGTCCATATGATGAGCATAGTTTAACACTAAGCAAATTTTATTGTTTACACATATGTAACACAAACATACCACTGATGATCCGATAAATAAAAAAATGTGTTGATGTTTAGGCATGGTAATAATTTTAAAGTTGTACAACAGTGAACATTTTCTTATGCATGAACTTGCCAAAAGTTCACATTTAGCCCAAAATATTGCACAATTGTTTGTCAATTCATCGCGCTCAACTTAAAATGCGTATCTATACAGTGGTCTTGAGTGCTGTTAAAGATATGAGGGTGGTTATCACTTCCCGGTTGCCCACACCGGGGAAGGATTATTCTGAAGGTACCTGAAAGAAAATTGGGTTATGTATGGTTTTGGTGACCCTACCTCAGTGCCCAAGGGACAACTGCTTAAGGCCGATCACACACGACTTTTTTATGGGTAATTTTTGTGTTAGCCCCGTACTTGTTGAGACCTTACTGCCAGCGACGGATATTCGTGGGATGAGGCTAAGTTTGCATTTTTAGGGTCAACCTATTCTAACCCCACCCTTCTTTATGGGAAGGCAGCATCGCTGTCATGCTGGTCGTCTAAAGGAAACACTTGGATTGTTTTCTTAACATATTTTAAGATGGATGAAATCGCCTAAAATTAGTTTAGTTTTCTACCGTTTTTATTTCTATATTCGGCAAATCTTAGTTATACTGTTGCTAATTTATATTAGTAGTATTACTCTGTATAACAAAGTTTGTAACACACAGGGTACATTGTAAAATTCAATTACTCATAAGAATGTTTGACATAGATAGGATCATTGTGGAAAAAACATTAGGATATTTTACAATCTATTAATTTTAGTGAAAACATGATAAAGCTCTCTTAACAAAACACTATTTCATTTTGATCGTTTGAAGAACAATATCATCTATTAAAAGATGGATCAAAAACATAACCTCAATTATTTGATATGAGTGACTTAAGCAACAGCGTTGTAGTAGACACTTCAAAGGAAACTTCCGTGATCATTATATAATGGCAAAATAAAGAACAGTGATCTGGATTCCACTCACATCTTAAAACATACTTAAATTATTCATGAACCCGAAGTTATCTATCCTTGACTGGCTTTCATGGATATCAGTTAACATCATATAATACAGTAAAGTCTGTTGAAGTATACAAAAGTATATATCGTTATCAGGAGTATTGGACATCACGTTTTAATGATCCTTATAACCATACTGTATCCTATTATCATCTGAATGATTGTAACAATATTCCAGATTCCAATAGGTAAGTTATTCCAAATGTCTTAAAGTATACAATACGATTATATTTATATCCTAACTCCAAAATTAAATTCTTTTATGAATCGTGCATCGCTTGCTTTTAAAGATAAAAAAGGTGAATGCATTGAGTAGAATAATAAGTTAAGCTAGAAAAAAATAGCTTACCTTCAATGAATTCAATACGATAGTCGCTAAGTGGCCAATTCTCAACAATTTTTGTTGAAGACTTAATCAGTGTTGATGGTGCTGAAAATGCCCAAGAAGATAAATATTTACTATTAGATACTTTTCTATTATTAATTAATTTTTTATTAGATACATCTTGGTTCAATGAATATTTATACAATGATGATTTGTTTGAAACTATTTTAGTTATTGGGTATTTATTATCAGTAACATTATTAGGTGCATTATTTGTTACAGGTAATGATTTATCATGATTTACTTCAGTTATTGATTTTGACAATACGTCACTTTGATTTGCGCTCTCATTCTCAATATTTTCTGTATGATATTCATCGGCTTCCAAACTTTCATGAACATGATTCTTCACGTTTGCATTTTTTTCGACATGGTGAAATGATTCATCATTATTATTATTATTATTGGTTATATTCTTTTCGCGATGATTATTGTTGTAATGATGATCTTCTTCATTGAATAATAAATCACATTGAACAAATAAATTATTTAACGATGCTAGGGATAATAACAAGAATATTGATGTTGAAAGTAAATTATGATAATTATTTAAAAGCAGTTTCATTTGTAATCGATTGAATACATTCCAAATTCCAGTTGATAAGATATGAAATTAGATCGTCTAAATATATGAAATTTTAAAAGAAATCAATAACTATACAAAATCAATAATGAATCAGTACAGTTCCTACTTGAGAGCAACTACTATGATCTTTCATTTTCATCATAAAACATATATCCATATAGTTTATTTTCTTTGATAACGTTTGTACTACCTGCCAAGGAATAACTTTGAAAATACAATAAGCAATTTTATCAGGATTGTTTACAAGCATCTTTGAACCATTAAATGATTGGTTGAAATATTGATATACATTGTGTTCATCATTAAAATTTAACCAGAAAAAAATTATGAACAGTGATTTTCCTTAGAAAATAAATACTGACGTACAAGTTGAAAAATTGAATATGTATAAAGAAAAGGATAATAGTTGTATTTCAAAATAGTGTTGATTTCAATAAAGAAAAGTAAGTAATGAAAATACTTCCTGTTCATCAATTGAATGTCTTCATAATAATTGACTTTTTTTCCTTGAAAACAAACAAATTAATTAATTAATTAAACAAAACAAAGATAAAAGTTAAAAATGTCATAATTGAAACTAATTACAACCATGTGATATTTTAAAAAATCAATCAATCAATCAATCAAATGAAATAAATTCATTGCCAAAATTTGGAGTCGATTTATAATCTATCATGAATTTTCATTTGTTAGAAAAAATAATAATAAAACATATGACACTACCTGAATAAAAATAGTTTAATCACTGTTTATTTAGATCAGATGAAATCTCGACACTCTTGAAACAGGATACGCTTCACGTCATAATTATACAACAGTTGTTTTATATACATAGGAGTAAGGATTTAATTAATTAATACTTTTCTTTTTGTAATTGGTAGTTTTTTCTGATTGGTCAATTGATGTAATCATGAAAACATGAATTGACCAATAGTAGTTTAGATAACTTTTTAAATTCAAGTAATCATTATTACGAATTATTTACAGACAAAAATAATAGAATTATATGAATCATATAAAAAAAAGATATAAATTGTTAGTATAAGCAGTCATTAACACAAATAGGTAGAATGTGAAGTGCTTTATGACAGTTCACCTTTAAAAATGCGGAAATCGGATATTTTTTTCTCCCTCTTTTATTTAGTTATATAACTTGGAAGAAATGGTTTAATTTGCACGATGTTAAATTATTCAAAAACATATTTTGTTTTCACATTATTATAACTTGTACTCTGTTTCCCATTAATGTATAACGTGACGATATCGCCAATTAGAGAACAGTGAATTATCGATCGGAACAATGACGCATAAAACCGATGCGAGCAGTCTAGAGTCCTGATTGGTCCTGCTTTCCGCCTAGCCCAGCCAGTTAAGTCTAGAACACCAATCTCAGCCTCTGCAGTATAAATCGTTTATTTCAAACATACTGGGTTTATATACCGACCAGACAGACCACATCTTATCATAAAATAGGAAGAAATATTTGTACAAGATTTAGCCAAAAGTGGCTGTGATTGTGGGTGGTATTAACTGATAGACTGGGTATAACTCAAGAATGGTAAGTCGTATAATAACAGTTCATAGGTCAAAATAAAGCTCATAATAAGAGAGAAACCAATATGAATATTTCATTTATTTAACGATTATATGGTAAAATTATACGCAAAGGATCGGTCCATAAATGGATCTCAAAAGTTACCATTCATGATTCTCACCGGGATATAACAATTAATTTTTATGATCCATCAAAAAAATGCACGGTTTCTCGAAATATTGTAAGGCTAAAAGTTGAGAAAGTATAGCTTTCTGTTCTCGAAATTTCTCGATATTACAAATATTCTATTTGTTTCTCTAAAATGCCAACATTTCATAGGCATTAAATATGAGCTTAACATTTATTTTTGATAATGTTCAATTTAGGGTTAAAATATCTGATTTCTGAATAGTAAGTAATGATGACCAAATTGAGTATATTCTCAGAAGCTAAAAACAGCCTTTAACATCTTATATACAACTACGTTTTACATTATATGTATTAGGATATGAACTTGGTCACGTTATTTGCTCGTCTCATTGACCAGTTTTATACATTGTGATTTAAGTCTATAAATTTAAGTTTTCATATTTTTAAAGTTTGAATATGCCGAGTCTTATTGTTTTAATAAAATCATAGTCATAAATTTTGGAAAATTATTTTTATTTGGCCTTTAAAGAGTGATCATTAGTCTTTTCATATTTAACGATATCTTAGTTTATTCTCTACGGTTTAGTTGGTTAATAATTTACTTTGATATTTGAATAAAACCTTCACTTTAGAAGAAAGCTCTATTTAACAACAATTAATTTGTCAATGTTATTTACGTTTTTTATTATTATCTATCTTCAATGGTTTTCGTAGAGTATGATTTAAGTTGCTTGCTTTATTATCTGGTTAGAATGAGTAACATATCCATTTAAATTAGTTATTCCATTAGTCATTTATATGTATTGTGCAATTATTTGATAAATATGTTCAATCATTCAGTTATTTCGAATCTTTCTTTATATCTTGTGCACATTTGTTCTCTTGTAGTTCAATAGCAGTTAAATTCATATTATTTGTACTCAGTAATCTTTACTGTTTGCATCATTCATAAAAATGATAAAGGCATGTTTTCTTGTGAATGGATATGTTTCATAGGTACTTAGTTTACAGTGCTGATAGAAGTTTTAATCTTCAGTGATTATTTATTCTAACTCATTCAGTCAAACATTTTTAGAGATTAAGGAGATGCAAATTTTTGGTTAGGTATATGATTTTTAGAGTAAATGTATGTGAATTGCTGAGAAATTACAAAACATGACAAATTACTTGCTTAGTGTTTTTTTTATATTTCCCATGATCTTTTAACTCCCAGTAGCCTAAAATTTTCATCTAGCCGTTTAGATGCTTTTATATATAAGGAAATAAAACGATCATTATCCTACACTTTCATAGAACATTTGATTTTGTAAATATTTTTAATACATATTTATAGATAAACAGACTGTGTACTGTTCACACGTTATTGGAATATATAAATGTGTCCAACATGAAATATTTATAATTTTCCTCAACTACATGATCTTAATATAACACTTCCTAATAAAATTAATCTGTCAATGTATTCTTATCTTTTAACTTTTATTGGAGGTAATGTCTTATTGTAATGAAGAAACGTTGTTTGTTAGATCCATATCCACAGCTTTTAATAAAGATGGTAGATGTTTACAGTTGTAAATGATTGATTACAGTGGTCCTCGAAAGAATTTTTCAAATAGATAATAAAAACAGACTTTTTAGTAGATGTCGGAAAAGCCACTTTATCGATGCATAAAAATAAAGACAAATATCCATACAGATATTATTGTCTGCGTTCATGCATACATCATGCAATGTGTAACCAAAATACTTATAAAAATTTGAAAGGTATAACGAGAAAAACCAAGTATAACCTCAATACGTTTTACATAAGTTCTGAAATTCATAGATGTATCGACTCCACTATACACGATATGTACTGAATTCAAAATCAAAGAAACCATTAGAAATTATATGTAACTGGATTACGATTATATTTGCTACGGTGCCACAAATATCAGATGTGTTAATATCCCAAGATTAGTCTCGTTATGCAACAGAAAAAGAACGACACACAGTAACTTATGAATCATTCAAAGCACAAAATTCAGTAAATTTCTTTATTAAGGTAGAATGTTAACCAATGTATATCTTAAAATATATGCTCTTGTTTATCCTACTTAACAAATCAAGAAAATATTATGGACTTATATATACAAAGATCAAACTATTATATTAGTTTGACTATAATTAAATGTAGATTTTAATGGCTGAAATAAATATATCTTATTTTCTTCATCTATCATAATTAATGAAGGTTGATAAAGTGTTAATTACAAATGTCTATTAGTAATAAAAAACACATTGGTATTCACATAATCAGAATGAACTAAATACATTGTTCTGAGAAAGGTGATCTACTTTCAATGATATTAGGTTTCCATTATTGATTTATTGCAAATATAAAAAGTATATACAAATATCACTGATTTGTATGAAATATATATTCATTTACACTTGAATAAATTTGTTCGATAGACAACAAGAGAGTAATTAATAATCCATGGATTGTTTTCTTTGCTTTAGTTAACCAATGTGTTGTCAAAAATGATAGAATTATTGAGGTAAAAATTTATTCAACTTTTAGTCATCTTAATCATCTTACGTTAGTGTTTTGTAGGAACTTGTACAGTTCAGAGAAAAAGAATTAAATTTAGTTGATAATACGGTGGTAAGTTTTGAGGTGGACGTCCATAAAGTCGAGACTTATGAATTTCAGAATATAGCACATGGGCAAACATCAGTGAAATTCATTTATCAACTGAACATTCTATTTAGGAATTATCATAATTAAACTGGATGAAAGATCCTGTCATGAATGTAGAATTTTCACAATACTGATATGTGCCCCCAAATGCCCTGGTACGGCCGAGAATGGGGACAGTCCGCTCTCCCTCTTGAAATACTCTCACACGGTCACGCGTATGCAGTTATTATCAGGTAAGTCCTACTCACTGCCTTCTCACAAAGGGGTGTTGTTTACGAAATTAAGAGGACGAAAAGCGAATGTCCGGAGCTTTAACCGGGTCGGTGGATATGGATAGTCAACCTAGGGGAGTTGGAAAACCCTGATTCCAAACCAATGGTGCATATGGGCTCAATTTTCCTGAGGGAACAAATAGCGTATCAACCAGTCGTTGGTCACCGGCTACCATACGACTGCATCTCCTTACGTTGCTCCACTGCCTTGTGAATCAGACCTTCAGGTCGAAGGCTCCGGGTGTGGCCCCCTAAGAAAACCACCTGCTTCGGTTTGGGCACCCGGGCAGTATCATAGCCCTCACACATATCGAATGAGATTTGTGTGGCGCATATGTATTTGGTGCTTCCTTGTACCAATATCTATATGTTCAAATAAATAAATAAATAAATACTAATATGTATAAAAACCAATCATGCTATAAACAAAAGAAATTAGTGATAAGAAAGAAAAGAAAAAGATAACCTTAAATCTGTTGTGAATATCTATTCAGTCTTTTTGATTGTGGCCTCATTTTGTGTTATTTTTTTTCTTATTGAACGCTTCAATCACACCATATATTTAATACTGATTAAATAAGTAAAAATAAGAAAATTGAATTCGGTAAAATAAAACAAGGTTACTAATTTGTGAAAGACTGAGAAAAAGAGAAACAATGGTTTTAGTTTACTTTGTGAGATCAAACATTCGTATTGAAGAACATAGCTATAAAATTCTTCGGAGTTACTATCGTGAACTGATTAAAGTTAGACTTTTACACCATTGGATTCCTGCTCAGTGGTCTAGATGTTAGAAGTTGGCGCACAAGACCGAGGACTCTGGATTCGATTCCCGGTTGCGGGGTTGTAAATACGCACTGCTTAAGA